CCTGACTATTAAACCAATTTAATAACTGCATGAACTTGGCAAGTTGTTTAATGTCTCTGCCAATTTCCTGATCTCTGAAGTACAGATATTATCACATATGATTGTTATAAAAATTAGTGACCAATTACTGGCACATAGGAAATGTTCAATCAATGTTTATTGCTCTCGGCAGCAGCAGCAGCAGCATCACTATCATCATCCCATTAAGGAGAGAAAGGCCTGGTTGTCCTTGCAGCTGACATGCTTCTTTCCAGGGTTTTCCTTCTGTGAGGTAAAGTATGTTGCAGACACCTGTGGGTAAAGGAGTGGTGAAACCAGTCCTGTTATTGTTTTTAAATCCTTCTTTGAGACAACATGTTTTGGAAGCAAATGATAGTGTGAAAACCAACAGTTGGTGAATGAGTAACATTACTAAGAACGAGCTGTGAGTGGGCAGTGGTTAGGCTAACATTTATAGGTAACCAATTATGTGCAGGAACCATGTTAGCTTATGCACTACTGTGCGTAAGGCAAGCCAGAATTTTCTGGAAAAGAAAGCTAATTATGATGGAATCATTAAAATGATTGGAAAACAAATGCTTGTATAATGTTAAGGGTAATAATAATTAATCTATATGTCTGCATGGTGTTTTATATACATTATCTTATTACAGACTCAATGTGGGATAGTTAGTTATATGACCCTTGTTCTATGGGTGAGGAAAGTGAATCTCAGAAAGATTAAATGTACCAAACATCACATAACTGGCAGAGGCAATGCTTTGGGGTGAAGGAGCTACAAGATTTGAGGGACTGCACTCTAAACTGGAGATGGCAAAGAGATTGCTTCCCAAATCCATTGATGTTTGTCTTCTTCAGTGAGAAGGATCCTGAAGCTTCCAATGGGTTAGGTGGAAAGAGTACTCTAATCAGGTAGCAATGACTGCCATGTGATGGAGGAAGAAGAGTCGTCATCCTCCTGTAAATATTATGATATATTGGGTATGTGTCTTGTTTGCTTGAGTGTGGACAAAGCAGCATTTAAGTCTGGGGTGTATGAAGGGAGATTAAACAAGAAAGGTGATGACAATCTATAAAGAAGGCTGGAAGAATGATGTAGTGATTTCTGTAAGTTAATACTGTCTTTACAACCTGGTGTCATAAATATATTTTTTCAAATAAAACCACCACTTTTATTCCTCTCTCTTTCCTTTCCTTTTTTCCTTCCTTCCTCTCTCCATTCTTTCCTCCCTCTATTCCTTCCTCTCTTCTTTATTTCTTTCTAGGTCTGGACAGATAGAGTAATGTGTAAGACTTACAATTTAGGGATGGTGATTTTCTATGAAACTTCTAACTCTGGTCCTGGGAAAGTCCCACAAGCTACTAAGTCTCATCTTTGTGGAAGAGGAGACCAAGTGAGTGGGATGGTATCTTTCAGAGCAATTGTGAAAGACCACATGTATAAATAGAAAATTTTTACTTCAATTATGAAATGACATCAAGATCCTAAACTAAGGGGTCCTGACTTCAGGGCAAGTCAGCACCTCCTTCACCAGGAATGAAAAAAGGGAACCACCATCTCTTCGTATCTTTACTCTCTGCCCTCCACGTTAACATGGTATGTGTGCTTGCCTTTGCTTAGCTAGCAGTGGAAAACCACTTCCCCTCTCTGTTGCCTTGAAAATAACAACCACATGTTGTTCCAGTCTTTCCTCTCAGTTTTATTTTCCAGGTCTTAACTCATGATTGCCCTCTGGGTTTCTTTAATGACAAGGGAATGTTTTCAATTGAAACAAGAGTTCCTGCCAGAACGAAAGAACATGAAAACATGATTCTTCATCACATATTTTAGTAAATCCCCTGCTCTCCATTTGAAATTCAGGATTGGGAGTTGAATTACAAGAGCACTTTCAAGTGTTGTTTTATAGAAAGAAAAAAAAACCTCAACCTGTGTTTTTCTAAAATCATAGGCAATCTTTGTACAAGCTTGTGTATTAAAACTGTTTAAATGCAATTTATTGAGGAAGACTTTTGAATGAAAATGAGTAAAAATATCTACTGAAATCAACATTTTAATTAAATCATTGTTTAACTACTATTGTAAAATGAGCTGATTTCATTAGAGCATTCTAAGTTGTGGTTGCTGTTCAACATTTTAAAACAAATTGTTTTTACTAATGATAAAAAAAAGATGACTCTAGTTCTTATATATTAAGAATTCCTTTGATGGAATCCAGAAAATTTTGGAAGTAGAATCATGTCTTTTTTTCCCCACTAATGTTCTCGTTTCAATTTATCATCAAAATAAAAGTCTGCTTAACATAATGAAGTCATGTAGATATTTACTAATAAAAACTTAGTGTTCTCCTTCTCAATCTTATATATTCTCTTATTACTAGAGCTTAATCTGCATTTGAGTAGAGGTGAATAATCCATGTAGCCAATGATAACAATAGCTAGCATTAGTCTAGTACTTCCTAAGTAGTAGGAATTGTGCCAGGTATTTAAACATAATATCTTATACCTTAAATCTCAAGAGATAAATCATTTTATTAGCCAATTTTAAAGTGATAAAGCTAAATCTCAGAAAGGTTAAAAATTTCACCCAAGGTAACAATTTATTCAATGTTGACTTATAAATATAAGACATCAAATATAGATATATTTTAATTCAGACTTTTTGCTTTGGGTATATTAAAAATCAACAGGAAAATGTCCTTTATTTTTTTTCTTTCATATTATTTTATTTGTATTTATAAAATTAAAATATGAAAATATTTCCCTTTTCAAGATAGAGAAACTACAATCTTAGCAAAAAATACACACTCATAGTTGTTACAATACATATCCTTGTGTATACCTTAGACATTATAAAAGTGTTTAAGAATCACACTTCCAACATAAAAGTTGGAAGAAGAAACATCTTCTCCAACCTTGGTCATGTATCATGACATTCAACTATTTAAACCACACTATGGAAATAAAACATCTCTAGTTTTACAGGCTGAAAGGGATTTTAACTTTCAAGGCCCCAAAGGTTCTTTTGTTGTGCAAGGTAAAAAACTGGGAAAGGGTGCCCAGAGAGTTAATTCACCTTAGGTAGGTCAAGCAGTAGTTTACTTTCCATACTTTATCATGGAACTAAGGGGGAGGAGAAGGTCATGAAAACCCATCTTGGGCAGGACCCCCTCCACAGCATCCCTATCTATGTAGTGTGTCTCCTACAAGGACTAATGCTTCAGCTCTAAATGCTCTGATTCTGTAATTATTTATGATGCTTGAAAATGATGCTTTTGCAACTCTAAACTCCAATATTGTGAATTAGTCTAAAGTTATGATAGTGTGACTCTCCTAAATAGACTTCATTTAGGATTTGTCAGGTGAGAAGCATTTGGGACCATCAATAAGCCAAAAATTCCCTCTTGGAACTATTAAAGAAGATCTTTTCTTACTGAGACATAAACTTCAGAAGGCAGGTTCCTTCTTACTTTGGAAAAATTATGATGAAAGGGTGAGAAAGAAACTATAATAATCTTTCAAATTTGAAGGCTAAAGATAATTATAGATGCTAGGTCTGACAAAGAGTTGTAGACCATCATAGCTTTACCAACAAAAGGTTCATTGTGACAAAAAATCATTTGCATGTATTCTCCATTCCTGATTAAATTCCCAAGCATTCCTAAATATTCAATTCTCTTTTTAACTCAGAATATTGGCCTGAATTTCCAGATATAAAAAATTTGTTGTTTGAATTCACAATGTTAATATCATGGTGCAGAACTGATATTTAATATCATACTGATACACTAGAATTTAACAATGATTTTTTTCTCTATTCAAGAAACCACAAAAGTCAACCAACATGGAATACATGGGTCTTTACATTTAACATACAACATTAAGCATTATTATATATAATTCCATAATGGAAAAAAACTATAAAAATAAGTTTAATAGTATTAGTGTACTTTAAAAAGTTATTTTTAAAAATATATATTCCAAAGTCCTCTAAGTATTTGGCTTAGGGGGAAAGGGAGGTATCTATTAGGGTGAACCATAAGAAACTATAGTTTTTGTAAGTTAAATAGGTAAAATCTCGGCAATTTCAAATGGTTCAATCTAATAAAATCCTGAGAAAATTTTATGTGGCATCACTCTATAAATTCAAAGGGATTTATAGGAAAAAACATCACATCTTTAGTGAGGGGGAAACACTTTAGGATAGAAATGTACACACTAGCCATGCCAAGATTTCTCTCTTACAATTAAAAAAAACACACACAACTTACTGCTGTTTCAAAAAAAACCCAGAAAATTAAAATTGTAGAATGATAGTTACAGTTGCTAATGCCACTGAAAGAGAAACTATTAGTCAAATTTGGTGATTTAAAGGCTTCAAAAGTTTACATGTAAAAATTCTGAAATGAAAAGGCACAAAATTAGTTAAAAGAATGGTATTCATTTATTAAAAACAGCCTTGAAAATAAGGCCAATTAATCCATATTATTAACACCATTAAGTAGGTACCTATTCCAAGTTTCAGCTTTGGCCTCTTAAATGGAATTATATTTCAAATGAATTTTCAATCTAATACTAATCATAGCAGCATTATTACCAGTGAGCTTCTTAGCCTCTACACTGCTAAAAGGACATCTAAAATTTCCTCCCCACCTATATTCCATCATTATCAAAAATACACTTTAAAAAAATTACACATACCTATATGTAATTTTTTTATTAGAGCCATAAAAATGTTTGCAGTGTTTCTTTAATGAATTAATGAACTGTCCTCTTACCAATACCACCCCAACAAAAAACAAACAAAAACAAAAATCACTAGACCAGCCGATGGGCTATGCTTCATTAAGTGAAGATATAACCATATTTAAAAACGGTACTTTAGCTATAAAATTTATTAAACATAATCAATGAAGTAAATGTGGATTTTCCAGGTGTGTGCTATGTTTGAACTGGGTGACGGTGTACTTGTAAAAAAAAATACACATTTCAACAACTATGCTTCATTTGGAACTCTGGTACCATTTACGAAGGGCTGCCCCAGCTCTACTGGCTACTACACAGAGTGCACCACCCACCGTCCACCACGTTGGTACATCATTAAGGAAAATAATCCGAAAGATAAAAGCAAAAACCACATCCATAGTTCTCATTAGTGCTACTAGTCCTGCTTTTTCTATTTGAACAGCTTTGGTGAGAAACACCTGACCGCTCAAACCAAACAGCCCAATTAGTATGAGAAAGAGCCTGTCCAGCCCACAGTATGGCAGACTCCAGTCTCCTAATATAAAGAGGACAACGATGGTCTCCACTAGGCCAAAAATAATATTATACCAAATGCTCAAAAAGTAGTCCACAGATTTCCCCATTTTTCTGAGGATAACTATACTCAAGGCAGCAAACATGGCATGTCCAGCTGCTGCAAATGGGCCCTTCAGGTGGTCTGAATAGCTCTTACTCATCACCTCAGGATTGGGACCAAACAAAAACGGCGGCCTCACAATGAGGATCACTCCAATGATAGTGAACGAGGTGAAGAGAACATCCCAAAGGCTGTATTTTTCCTTGAGAAGTATGCAAGCAAATATAGACGTAAACACTGGACAGCTAAAAGAGATAACCGTGGCATCCGCGAGGGACGTTGTCTGGTAGGCATAGTATAGAAGGATAATGGCGATAGAACCCACGACTCCTCTGAGAACAAGGAAGATCCGTTGATCTTTTGGGCCTATGAACCCAGTTTTTCTGTATATTAAGCAAGGGATAACGACTAACATTTGGAACACACATCGGAATGCACTAATTTCTACAGCATGGATGTCTTGCACTTTTTTAACAAATAAAGAGCCCACTGAGAAAAGGAAGGCAGACAATAATGTGTAAAACAAGCCAAGTCCAGGACAGGGTGCTTTCTTCTTGGCTTCAGGCTGCGCATGCGAGCAGCACGACGAGGATCGGCACAGCCAGCACCACCCGGAGTGGGGGTCCGGTGTTCCCACTTTCTCGGTGGCTGTCGGCTCCTCGCTCGCACCCGGGGGCGTGTCTTCTGTCAGCTGCAGACGGGGCTCCTGCAGCTCCGTAGCCCGAGCGCTGTCCACTGGCCGCATTGTGCAGCCTGTGACCTCCCCGCGGCCGCGCGGCGTCTGGAAAATGTCCTTTACGTTCAACTATAACCTTAAAGAGAAATGGAAAACAGATAAAATAGAAAATCTTTAAATGAAAAAACTGAAATTCTTATAGACTCAAGACTCTGAAATCTTCCCTGAGCCTCTGAATAAGTCCTATAGAGAGATTTGCCCACTAGCTCTCTAGGAGAGAAAAGTATTCATGCCTCCTAAAGCCCAATCTAATGCATTTTCTACTAGTGATAAAAGGTTATAAGGGAGTAATTATGTTTTAAAGTTGCTTCAAGGTACAAAATAATACCATTATGGGATTCTGGGAAATTAAATTGGAACTTATGACTGTATCAAGCAGAGCTTCTTTTCATGTTATCCGTTCCTTTGTCAGGGATACAGTAGATTACATGTAATGCCAAGATACACTCAGGGTTGTGATAAGATTGGAGACAATGTATTTTCTCTTCAAAACTGAGATCAATTTATTGTTATTAAATAATTATAAAACCATTATCTGCTAGGTTTTAAATATGTTAAACATTCAGAAAAAGTTCAAAGAAAAACAATAAACCTATTCATAAACCTATCACTCGGAGATGCTTACTTCACTATTTCATTTATAATTTGCTATTTATGTAATTCTAGGCTTTATTCTATGCATATGTATACATATATATTTTCTCATAAAAATGAGATTATGGTTTATACAGTGTTTTAAAATATATCTTTGTCACTTAACAGTATGTGGCAATAGAATACTTTCTAAGTCAGTACATAGAGATCTATTATAGATGTTTTTAATGTCAATATATCATCCAATTTTGAAATGATAGCATAATTTAATTAATCTTCTATGGTTAGAAATTTATATTTACTCCTAAATTTTAGGTGTTACAAAGTCTGCATCAGTAGACATCCTTGTATAAGTACCTTTTCAAAATTTGTCTAATTATTTCCTTAGAAAAAGTTTCTACAAACAATTGCTAAATACAAAGAGAATATACACTTTTAAGGCTTTTGGCAATTATTTTCTGTTACTCTCCTCCATCATATCAGTTGCTAAATATTTGAGTATTCTGAATTATAAATAACCTGAAAGTTGTATTATTTTGTATTCAATGCCTATTTCTTTTACTAATGTTGGGTACTTATTATTTTTAAAACATAGAGTCAGTGACTATTGTCTCCTTTCCAAGCCTAATGGATGGTGTTTGACATTCACAGCACAAATAATTCCCCACATCTTTCTAAAAAACATCCTTCTAAAATAAATCTCAGGTAGGTATTCTTATTCTAATTTGACAGGTGGAGAAGAAAGTGAGCTTAGATTCCTGATTCTCTTTTTTGTGGCTACCGAAATCATGAAACAGATAAAGTTTGTAACTTCAATTTTGTGACTACTCTTTTTTCACTTTGGTTGTGATTCCTTCTGCTAGCCTCCACCTGCTTTCATAGTCACTGTCCCTAGGGCTAATCAAAGGCTGGTTTCAAGTAGAAAGGCCAAAGGCATGCACATCTGGGTATACACACTTAAAATAGTTGCTTGTTGTGGACATTTTAACCAATCCAAAAAACTTGAGACAAATAATGACATTGTATCATCAAACTGAAAAGCATCATATGTTTTAACTTCAGTCACTATTTTATCATTTTTTGAAGTGTATAAATATTTAATTTTACTTTTTTATTATAAAAAGTAATTTTTCATTAAAAAATATGTGTTGAGCATATACTTTGTGCTCTGTTAGATATTAGGCATATTTATAACATCTATCCTGTATGACCTGCTTGCAGTACAAAAGCGGCATGCATTTTTCTCTCTCTTTATAGTTCTTTTTTTTTAAGATTTTATTTATTTATTTATGTTTTAGAGAGGGAAGGGAGGGAGAAACAAAGAGAGAGAGAAACATCAATGTGCGGTCGCTGGGGGTCATGGCCTGCAACTCAGGCATGTACCCTGACTGGGAATCGAACCTGCGACACTTTGGTTCACAGACCGCACTCAATCCACTGAGCTACGCCAGCCAGGGCTTCTCTTTACAGTTCTTGTAAAGAACTGTGCATGTACCACATGTACGGGGCATAAAAAAGATTTAAAAAGAATGGAACTGAGTGAAGAAACATCCTCTCTCACTGCATCATCCCCATTTCTGATCTACAGAGGCAAACTGTTTTCTGTTTATCTCCTTTTACAACTTATTATTAGCTCTGCAATTCTGAATAATGTACTATAATCTTTAGTGATTTATTGATTGATTTACATAACAACTCTCTTTTTTAAAGAATATCTGCTAAAAGATTTTATTTATTTATTTTTAGAGAGGGAAGGGAGGGGGAGAGAGAGAGAGAGAGAGAGAGAGAGAGAGAGAGAGAGAGAGAGAGAGAGAGAGAGAGAGAAACATTAATGTGCGGTTGCTGGGGGCGTGGCCTGCAACCCAGGCATGTGCCCTGACTGGGAATCAAACCTGTGATGCTTTGATTCGCAGCCCGCGCTCAATCCACTGAGCTATGCCAGCCAGGACTACATAACTCTTTACATCATGTTCTAAATTATATAAAAGATAGTTTGTTTATATCTCTGCCACCTCCCCTCTTTTCTCTGGATTCTGTTAGATATTGTTACAGTTATACTTTTTAAAACATTTCCCCCAACTTTCATTCCTTCTTTCACCATATTAACAGAGGCAGTATGTCCAGCTAACACCCCCACATCCCAGGCTTCATTCGGAAAATAAAGAACCGTTGGAAGCCTTCTGCTTTCTTGAGTCACAAGTCACCCATTTTTTCTTCTTCTTGCTGCAATGTGGAGGCAATGCCTGCAGGTGCAACAGCCATGAAGTCACACAACCATGAAATGGCAGCTGTATCAGTGACAATGAAAACAATGGAACAGAAATAGCACACCTAAATTCCAGGCACCACTGTTCAAAATCTATTCTTATATAAGTAAAATCACATGGTACTTCTCTTTTTCTGACTGTCTCATTTCACTTAGCGTAATGATCTCCAGATCCTTCATGCTGTTGCAAAAGGTAAGAGTTCCTTCTTTTTATGGCTGAGTAATATTCCATTGTGTAAATGTACCACAGCTTTTTAAAAATATATATTTCATTAATTATGCAATTACAGTTGTCCCATTCCCCCCCCTTCATTCCCCTCTATTCTGCACACCCTCTCCCACCCACATTCCCCTCTTTAGTTCATGTCCATGTGTCATAAGTTCTTTAGCTTCTACATTTCCCATACTATTCTTGCCCTCCCCCTGTCTATTTTCAACCTACTATCTATGCTACTTATTCTCTGTACCTTTTCCCCCTCTCTCCTCCTCCCACTTCCCTGTTGCTAACCCTCCATGTGGTCTCTATGTCTGTGGTTCTGTTCCTGTTCTAGTTGTTCACTTAGTTTTTGTTTTTGTTTTAGGTGTGGTTGTTAATAATTGTGAGTTTGCTGTCATTTTACTATACATGTTTTTTATCTTCTTTTTCTTAGATAAGTCCCTTTAACATTTCATAAAATAAGGGCTTGGTGATGATGAGCTCTTTTAACTTGACCTTATCTGAGAAGCACTTTATCTGTCCTTTCATTCTAAATGAAAGCTTTGCTGGATAGAGCAATTTGGGATGTAGGTCCTTGCCTTTCATGACTTTGAATACTTCCTTCCAGCCCCTTCTTGCCTGCAAGGTCTCTTTTGAGAAATCAGCCTGACAGTCTGATGGGAACTCCTTTGCAGGTTACCTCCCCTTATCTCTTGCTGCTTCTAGGATTCTCTCCTTCATTTTTACCTTGGCTAATGTAATTATGATGTGCCTTGGTGTGCTCCTCCTTGGGTCCAAGTTCTTTGGGACTCTCTGAGCTTCCTGGACTTCCTGGAAGTCTATTTCCTTTGCCAGAATGGGGAAGTTCTCCTTTATTATTTGTTCAAATACCTTTTCCACTTGTTGCTCTTCCTCTTCTCCTTTTGATACCCCTATAATTTGGATGTTGGAACGTTTACAGATGTCCCGATCTTTATTAACCTCTCCTCATTTTTTTGAATTCCTATTTCTTTATTCTTTTCTGTGTGGTTGTTTCTTTCTTCCTTCTGGTCCACTCCATTGATCTGAGTCCCAGTTTTCTTCCCATCACTATTGGTTCCCTGTGCATTTTCCTTCATTTCACTTAGCGTAGCCTTCATTTTTTTATCTAATCTGTGACCAAATTCAACCAATTCTGTGAGCATCCTGATCACCACTGCTCTGAACTGTGCATCTGATAGGTTGGCTATCTCTTTGTCACTTATTTGCTCTGGAGCAAGTTGTATTTTCTCTGGAGCTTTGATCTGTTCTTCTGTTTGAGCCATTTTTTTTTTTTTTGCCTGAATGTGCCAGTTAAGTATGAGGGGTGGAACCTTAGGTGTTCACCAGGGTAGAGCAACCCAGTCGCTGGATTGTGATGCTGTATGTGGGGGCAGAGTTCGAGAGGGAACAATGGTGCTTGCTCCACTCTCCATCAGATTTCAGTCCCTTCTGCCACTTCCCCCAAGCAAACTGGACCCTTCTGGCACTGATTCCCCTGTGGGTGGGTTTCTGTACATCCTGGGACCCTGTAGATCTCTCCAACAAACTCTCCTGTGAGAATCTGGGACTCTCTCCCTGCACCTCAACCCTCACAGGTGTTTTCAATCAGTGTTTTGAGGCTTTATTTCCCCATGCTGGAGCCCTGGGTTGCACAATCTGTCTCGCTCCCCAGTTTCACCTGGTAATGTGGGACCACCTGGTCAGCCAGCCACCTTGCGTGCAGTGCCTCGCTTCATAATCGCCACCTTGCTAGGTCTGCCTGTTGCCACCCCATGCCCAGGGTCTGCTGGCTGCCATCTTGGGCACCCAGGGTTTGTCAGCTGCTGCCTTGTGTGCCGGTGCCACCGCTTTTTTTGCCACCACCCCTCTTTGCCCAGCTGCCCGACTCTGCCCCTCCTACTGGTCTGGATGAATGTGTCTGTTTTAACTCCT